AGCCTCACGAAGAGAAATGCCATGATGCCGTTAAAAAGGACCAGAGGCGTCAGGCACTGACCTAGCATCAAACGGACAAGAAACCATTTGCTAACGGCGAAGAGCCCAAACTAATAGACCCCCAGGCATGAGGGCTTCTAAGAAACGAGACTCGTGGGAGATGTTAGACATCGGGCCATTTTGTTCCTTGTGCCAACATGAGTGGTGCTAATGGCAGAGATGATGAGCTAATTAACTTTGTAGTCTATTAGTACATTTATAAATTAATATGTGCTTTATACACTTAGTACAAAACTTCTCTGGTTATGTGGGTGTCCGAATTTTTTTTGGATAATGAAAGCACGTGGGCTAAACCGAGCTCGGTGTTTAATTAGCATGGAGAGACAAGAAAAGCATGGAGAATGTTTGTGAGAATTCCTGTGGTAAATACCCACTTGGAATATAAATGATAACATTAATATGTGTTCTAGTGATGATTGGTATTGACTGGGGATCGATTCTTGACGTAGGCTTCCGCCCGATTGTTAGTTTGCAAATCAGGGAATTTATAGATCGCTTCGTATTGTAAATAGTGACCGGCTACGGGCTGGACGACCGGGGTTCGATCCTCGACGGGGGCAGAGGATTTTTCCTCTAGCCTCTGGGGCCCACCCAGCCTCCTGTCCAATGAGTACCGGGGTTCTTTCCCGGGGGTAAAGCCGGCCGGGGCGTGACGCTGACCACTCACCCCCACCTATTGACGAGGTCAAGGAAGAGAGGAGCTATACCTCTGCAAACAAAACATATCTGAATGTAACGAGCACATTTCGATTCATTATTCTGCAATTCTGAATTTCAGCAACTTACGGAGTCCAAGCACAGTTATTTAATGAAAAAGTACTAGGAACTTACAATGAAAGCTGTGCTAAACATTCTCTTGTTGACGGTGAACTGCACTGCAAAATACAAAGTCGTGTACATTATCTGATATATTATGTGATGTTTCACGCTTCACAAACTGAGGTGCTGTGAACAAACTGTCATATAACTATTGTTTATTATCAACATTTTTACTTTCAATCACAACAAGAGTGAGAAGATTCACGTATAAGCTCTCTGTATGAGTATTACGTATTTCTGTAGTGTCTGGACACTATTCGGATGCTTAAAATGCAAAATATTTTGCAAGATCACATCACACACAAAGATCTATATCATCTCTCCCACGAGGTCACATGTTCTCAACCCACGGTGTGTGGGTTGCATGAAACCTACTGACCTCTTCAGTGTGGTCATCACACATTTGTGTAACATCATATCACTCCGTGTAACAAAAGCAAATACTACCTAATTTGCCGATGTTCTTTTGGGTCCTGACATAACCCGAAAAACATCATCAGTGTCGCCACCATGAGAATCTCAAGTTTCACAAGACTTGGATATTTTTGCCTAGGAACCCATGATTTAGAACATAGATAATTCACTTTCCCCCTTATATAAATGTTGTTCAAGTGATAATTTTGGAATGTAAAGAGCAGGGATTTCAATCTCGTATACCTGTAAAACAAATGGCAAATGCTGTCGGCCAGATTTTATCTCTGTTCCTTTCAGACACGTCTTGAAAACAGCTGATAACTTGCTGCCACACAATTTATTAATTATTTGATCTGTATAACAAGAATAATTGTACCCTTGTTTTTACTGAAAGAATTTTCCAGATGTTTCCTGACCTCAAAAGAAATAGAGTAGTTTATTTACATTCCATGGATCCTTCTTAGGACTCAACCAAAGGATGTAGGACTTGTCATTTCATACAATATACATACACTTCACAACTTTCAACACAAGTACAAGAACGTATTTCACATGTCAATGTACATAAATTTCAGACCCTGCAATACAAGCATGAAAAATAATTTTACAAAATTAATATACATAAACCTCAGAATTTTA